TTCGACTCGGCGTTTTTTAAAACGCTGGTTTTAACCCAATATCGCAATATCGAATAAATACTCAATAAATTTGGGCATGGTGATTAAGGCAGCATTCACACAAATAGATCATCACATAGGATCATGAAAAATGATGGGAGATGTATTTCTATAATTGAGTACGCATGAGTAATTGGTTGTTTAATGAAGCAACGAGTTATGCAAGGCCGAATGTTGCATATGCAGTGGATAATCTTAGTAAATCTACTAGTTATCCAAATAAAAAGTATTGGGATGCAATCTCTCGAGTTTGATATATCTCAAAAGAATTATCAATTTGGCATATATTATATTGATTATCCCATGGTGTTAGAAAAATATAGTGATATGAACTGGAGTATGTAATTCAAAGATTCATTAACCACATGTGGGTAGTCACCTCGGGAGGTGGAGCCATACCATAGGGCTCAATTCACCTCGGGAGGTGGAGCCGTAGGGCTCAAAGAAACAAACATGTATATCTCAATCCATTATTGCATTAGATTATGCTCGTCAAGAAACAAGATGATTGAGAAACTTGCTTTATGGTATTGCTTGCATCTTAGCTCAAACTGATATCGGTGACCACATTTAATTACGATAACCGTGCCACAATATTTTGAGCAAATAATGGTATTTCTAATAGCAAATCTAGACGTATTGTGTGCACACATGGCTCGACCTAAATGTTGATAAAGAATGGAATAGTAAGTCTAGAATTTGTGAGATCGAAGTAGAATTTGGTCAATCCTACGAGTACTTGCAAGGAAAGACATAGTAATATATCAGGCAGAATGGGGCTAGAGTCCATAAATTAACCATCAATGGTGTGAATTCAATTTAGTAGTTTATTGCTTCAAGAGCAAGATTTAAGAAAAATAGATCAGTGTCCTAGATTGCTCATCTGAAACTGGTCCAGGTAAGTGGATTAATTTGCCAATTAAAAAAAAACAGAGAATAAAAAATTTGAAAAATATTAAAAAAAAATAAGAGTTGAACTATTCTGGCTAATTCTCAAATATAATTGACCGGTTTTATTAGTTTCGTCTTAGGACCAGCCAAAACTGGGCAATTCATAACAAAAACTGGCTAGTTCCCGATATTTGGAGGGAACTGATCTAGATCGAGCAATTCCTTATCTAGATCTCCAATTTTTTAAACCCTGATCAAAAAAGGTCTAGATTCAATGCGGTAATAACAAGGCTTTCATGTGGTCAATTTGATCACTAGATATAATTAAATAATTTATAAGCACCCATTCTAGAAAAATCCATGCCGTGCATAAGTCTAGTGAAGACTAGTATGAGAGCAAGTTAAGCATTGCTCTTAATGATATATATAATTGGTATCAGTTGGGGTATTTTATATGGGCACCCTTTAATGACTCACCTATATGAGTGCGGAAGTGAGACTGCTTCCAATGAGATTGAACTCATCTCAGGACTATCGGGATATAAGTTTACAAGCTGGCCACCAAAGTTCTTATGTTATTTGTGGGTTGTGCTACTAGTATGTTGGATAAGATCCTTAGTTCCAAGCAATATTCTACCATGGAGTTTGATGCACTATACTGTACATACACTGACTTGAGGTTCAAATTAATAGATACCTTCATGGTAATGCGAGTGACATATGTTGCTTATTATTTTAATATCATTTTGAAATAGCGGAGGAAAAGATTGTATTTTTTATAAAAAAATTCGCCTGAAGAACTTAGACATGCACCGATTCATATCATCATGAAAAATATATATTTTGTGATAACAAATTCTTCCTGCCTATAATCAGAGAAACTAGAACCTTTTTTTTTTTTAATGTATATATCTCTTAGTTTATCCCCTTTCACCCCTCTTTCCAAGGTCCTAGGTGCATAAACTTTTTTTATCCAGGTCTCTTTCATCTCGCACAGATATTTGTCCTTTTTCTATACTCCACTTATATGCAAAACCAATGGTTTAAAAACCGGATCGGTGACCCGGATCGGGCTTTTCAAAAACAGATCCGGATCTGCGAATCGGCGATCCGGATCGGCGAATCGACGATCCGGATCGGAATCGGGT